GTCTCTATCTCTCTCTCTCTCTCTTTTAATCTATGAATCGAGCATAATTAGGTCTTACTCAACTTCCTACCACCATTCCTCAGATTCAACGTATTCCATAAGCTGTTCATTTCAATAGCCGCTCTTATCTTCATTTGACAGCAGACGTATTATAATCAGCAAAACTACTATTTTGAGACTATTCTATCTCATGTCTACTTCTGGTTGTTGGGCCCAGTGGCCATCACACGCATTTTTATGTTGCCCTAATCTTTGTCGAATAGGCTGGTATGTTTCACCAACATAAGGTCGACCACAGGAGCATACAATCTTGTAGCAGCAGTGTCTCAATAATGGATCATATTTCTCCACAAAAGATGACATAACTGAACAAAATGTGAAGCCTTCTTTGAACATTGTTTTTATCCCTCACTTACTCACTAGTTCGTCTATCTTTTTATAAAGAAGGCAGAATGGCAAAATTAGGACATCAGAAAAGGTCTCTGCTTGTCTAGCTTTAACTAAATAGTCTCTGTATGAAAGTTTATTCCTCATTACAGAGATACTATTGATAATTAGGCCCAAAGGATAATTATTTTCCGGGAATACATTTTTCAGTCTTTCCAATGCTTTAGTCAAATTGTTGCTTTTCCCTACTCACATACTCCTAATGACCATTGACTACAAAATTTAAACCTTAGTTTAGTAACTATGGTTGGAAACAAAATTTAGAAATGGCCAACATAAGTTGGCTTCCTATAAATATCTCTTCTTAATTTGCCCTCTTCTCTAGGGATCAAACATCAAAAAATGGTAAAGACCCTAACCTCTTCTATTTCATTTGTGAATCTAAAGTTATTATCACATCGGTTAAGTAAAAATAAGAAACTATATAAACTTTTCTTACCAAGAGTCCAAATGACAAAATAACCGTCCATGTATCTAACCCATAATTTGTGGATTAGTGTTGCCTATTCCAAATACGGTTCCTCAAGTTTGGCCGTATTGTTGTTCGCCAAGATGGGAACTAAACAAGCTCCCATCGCGTCCTTTTATCTGTTCATAAAACCTACCTTAAGAGGTAAAATTAGGGCTACTCATGGATAGGTTAAGAAATCAATGTCCCTTGTGTAACATACGCACATATATATATATTTATATCATATAGTGATATTTTCGATTAAGGCAAGCTTTTATTTTGCCATCACAACCGACTACACTACTTATATTCATATAAAGTAGGTCTCTAAGCCTGCACTATATAAATGTATTCCTGAATAAGAGCCTGCTCTCGTTTAGTCGCATAAGACGACTTAAGGATTGATATTTGAGGTTTCCCATAATGGGACTAGTAGCCCTCAGGATGTCATTTGATTTCACCTAGTCTTGCCTATCAAAAAGTTCTCTCGTTATGGCTAACCTACAGTTTTTACTTTACTCAGATCGTCTCGCCAGCACTTCCAACTGGATTGCAAACCCGATTCTAATTTATGTAAAAATGTGAAATCATCTTCAGAGTACCAACATTCAAATGTTGTCCAATTTTCTCTCTAATTCAGGATCCCGACTTCACTACTCATGGTTCTTTAGTTCGAGTACTGACGAGCAAGAGCCCGGCTCGCGAGTTATCAAGTCGCCTGGAGGTCTGCCCTCTCATGGCCCCGGCTCGGATGGTTGGATCCATCTGACTTGGCCGGGGCGACGGCCCGTTGTCCGCACGACTGGTGGCGGGAGTGTTGAACGAGGCAGTGGCAGTGGAAGCGACGATGTCGACGCCCCCCTCGACGGCGATGAGGCCGACTCTGGATCCACTGGACGACGCGGTTGGGGCTCGTCGCTTCGCCTGGGACCGCTCACAGCCAGCATGTCGGGCGACTACGCCTGCGTCATCGAGATGGTGGTGCCTCGGAGTGCCAGTGCCTCGAGCGAAGAAAGGGCCAGACGAGCTCCGCTAGACTCGGCGGCAGAAGCCATCAGGCCCTCGGACGGCGTGTTGAGCAGACTAGTCTTGATGCGCATCTACCGATTCAGTGTGCGAGGTGAGAGCAAAGTTGGCTCATCTTTCTCGTCTCCCTATTACCCACAAACTTCCTTTTATGCATCATGTTGCTCTCACCTAGCCCTTCCTTGCGTCTCAGTTCTAAAGCATTAATGTATGTATTGTATGTATGAAGACTAAGATGGTGTGGCCTTCTGTTTGGTCGCATTCTCTTTTAGCTTGTTTCGCCAATTGATCGGAGCGTCAGAGACACCTTGTGTCCTCTGACATAGTATTCGTGATTTCAAGCATCGGAACATTGACTTGGTACATTCCCAAGACGTGTCGCCAGCATCATAATCGGCATCTTCAGTGAGAGGCGCTATCGTTAGCACAGAGTTACAACTTATCAAAGTGACGAGTGAAGGCAATCGCCTTGACCAATTTCCTGTTCAATCGTTGTGGCATCAGTCCTTGCCCATTATTTTTGCTCTACTTTCTTGTGCTGTATCTCTTTATCTCAACCCCACTTCATATGTCCCATCAACTTATTCACACAATTATGTGCTCTCGTTTCCTCCAATTTCGCCTGAGAGTGTCTCGCTACAATTGGATTCAGTGAAGCGGTGCCGTTTTCAGAGCTCCCAATCTCCGTTCAGGCCCCTTTTTCTTACCCCGCTTCTCAATTGGTCGTCACTAAACAACAAAATCACTGTCGGGCTGTCTGAAATCCGGCTGCCTAGGCGCCTTCAATTCCCATCCTCGATAACACCATTTTTGAGGAGTTAGAGCCGGTGGTGCTCATGTCCATGCCGATTCTTGGGAATCTTCATCTCACTGGACTTCCAGCCCATAACTCAATTATTTTATTTCTCATCACTATCCACATTGTATCTCAATCTTTAGGGCCGCTTTGTCTTTCTTAATTCATAACCCTCCAGAATCGCGAAAAACACACTCTAGTCTCTCAACTTGGCATTCTAAGACTAACGTTCATGTGTATTCGTTGGCATCCCGCGTGGTCAAGCATGTCACCAGTCCCCTCTCATTAAGACACACACGCACACACTCTAGTAACCTATATCTGACTCAGCTATAATTTTAGTCGATGGTATGAAGACCAAGATGGTGTGGCCAGAGAAATCGAGATGGATTCTACGGGGCAAGAGAGAGACTGTGGTAAGACCTAGGGCAGGAGGACTGCGTAACAATATGACAGACTATGATCAACATTCCCACCACAAGGATGAAAGGGGGTGAGAAGGCCAGCGTGGATTGTGGAGGGTTCTCATAAAAGCCGCTCAAAAGGGCACACCGTACCACATTTAATTGAGCAAGTAAAAAATGGTGACAGTCAATGTGTGATAGGAGGATATAGGAAATGTGAATAGCCTAGGGCACACGTTTGGTCAAAGGATCGGCTTCACATGTATCTTTGACGAGTTGTAATATGGTGCTACGAATGACAAAACTCACTGAGGATGCCGACTACGATGCCGGCGAAACGTCTGGGAATGTACCACGTCCACAGTCTGACTTTGGAAATGATGATGCATACACTGGACTCCAGACAAAGTGCGTTCCTCTAAGTCTTCCTACCAATATGACCAAGTTGCGAAAACAAGGTCAAACAACTTCTTACTTTCAGTCTTTGATTTCCTATCCCAAAGGAAAACTCTTCTCATTGAAATCGCCTCATGAATCTATCCTTGGCGATGTCTCTTCCTGATGTTGCATCGTCGTCTTTAGTCCAAGTGTTTTCTTTTGATGGCTACGCTGAATTTCCAATTCTGCCCAGGCGGTATGCGAAAGTATCGCCGACTCTGCCCTCTACTAATCTCTGGCTCATCAAGTTTCTTTTAAAGATGATGTGCATAGCCTCCTTGAACTTTCATCTTCCGGTGTTCTCTCCATACGTGGCCAGACTTTCCGTTGCACACCAATCGGCGATATGTTCAACTATCTCCGATCTCCCCGTATCCATATTTCTCTACATTCGCAGGTGCCCTTTGATCCCTATGCAGTCTCTCCGGTGTATTTTTGTTTACAGTCTTTGCGGTTTCTGCCATAAACTCTGGCGCACTCAATTTTGTTGATTTCTTCACGCTGTTTGGGCAACTGGTGAGGAGGGTTGTCCTTTTCTTCAGGATTGTATGAATGTTCCATTTCCATAGTGTCAGTCGCAGCTTCCTAACCAATTCGCAGGAGGGTAGACATATCCATCATTTTTCCTCTGTTTCTTTTGCCTCCTTTCATAATATCCGTCCTTGAATCTGTTCATCATCATCCGTATATTGCGTTGTATTGCTTCTTCTGGATATCCGTTTCCAAGACACATCTCAGTTAGTTTTTACATTTCCGCTCCCCAGAAATCAGAATCACCATACTCCGGAATATTTCTATTTTCATTCCATAAGTATGGTTAGATTGGAAATTAAGGATTATTCCAGCCTGCGCTTTCTATCGAAAATGTCGTTTCTTGAGAGTCTCCTCGGAACGAACGACCTTCCATATCAATCGTCAATTTGACTTTTTCATCCATTTTGTTTACAAAAATCGGGAAATCATCTAATTTTTCTTTTCACACAACCAGATTGCGAAGTATTCATCAAAATATCGCATTATTACTGTTGGCTGCTGAGGTGGCGCTTTGAAATTCTACTCCAGCTTGTCCAAGTAGACATTAGCCAATGGAGGTGATAGTGGTGAACCCATAGGCAGACCAAATATTTGCTGAATGACGCAGCAATTGAACGTGAAGTCGGTAGTTCTGATTGTTAGGTTGAGTAATTTGGTTATAGACTCTTTACAGATTCGCTCCGTCTCCAGGTTGTCATCTTCTTTTCTAAGCTCTCCAATAGTGCCGTGATTGCTTTTCCCCTGTGATATCAGTGTACATGGACTGTACATCAAAGTTATCCGAAGTTCGTTTCCTTCTAAACTGGCGCCCTTGATTTCTTGACAAAATTCGAAAGAATCTTTCGCCGTATTCGATAATCTGTCATTCATATTCTTTAATTTGAGGCAAATACATTTCGCCAGTTTATGTGTTGGTCCGTGTTTGTTGTTGACTATCGGCCTCTATGGTTCTCTTTCTTTGCGTACCTTCGGCAAACTGTATGCTGCATCCTTGAATTCATTGTCCATTTGTCAATTTTCCCGTTTAGATTCATTTTCTTCAGCATTTCCTGCAGTATTCCTTTCATTATACTTGCCGAAGCTTTTGCTAATTGTACATAAGTTGTAGAGTCCCCGAGAATATTTTTCAATTTTCTTTTTATATTTCTTCCTGTCTATCACCACTGTGGCACCTCCCTTGCTAGCTTGTAGGACGATTTAGTCGTTTCTTCTCAATTCTTCATATATCTTTATTATATTATTGCTATCCATAGGTTCTTGATGCGCCAAGATTGTTGGGATAATTTCAATTGCGAGCTCTCTTTTTGATTTTTCAGGTAGCTTCTTTGAGGTATTTCTCAACTTTACTAAAATGTTATTGCTTGCCTTCCTTTCATTCCTAAGTGCAAAATTTAGTCCCTTCTTGAGGAGCTCTTCGGTTTCCAGGTCAAGAGGGGCTGAAGACAGATTTGCTACTTTATCTTCATCCGTTGTCTTAACTG